AAATTCTGGTTTTATCTAGTAAACTATTTTTGCTAATTATCTTATATTTTTCTTAATTGAAAAAAATTTTTAATAGAATGGGGGTAGAAAAATATTTATTTGTTTCAAATAATCGAGTACTCAATGATACGTACTGTAACACTGAGTTTATTTTTCCACGACTGTAAAATTTTATACACATTGTAAACAGATTATACAACACTCGACAAAAAAATTTATTGGTGCAGGTAAGTGTGATAAATATTGTTTAAATATAAGATTTGATGACTTTTCCAACAATAAACTCATTGTGTTATCAAAAATAAATTGTACCACGGGGTATTCAAAAAAGTATTGATACCCTTGGGTATCATTCCAATCAGTTACAAATTTCCATCCCATTTTTCAGAAACTTCAAAGATTCCAGAGTCCCCAATATTTCAATCGATTTCCAAACTATTTTCCACATGACAAAGCCGCGAAATAAAAAAGCCGTCGTGTCGAACTCCAGAAAACAAGCACCCCCGACGGAAGCGCCCTCATCATCATCAATAACCCCTCGATGATCAAACTCTCCCTAAACTTGGCCAATAACTTAAAATCTTCCCCTCCACAACGCGTGCAAGCCCATTTGGTCAAACAGTGCACACAATAGAAGTGCCGGCTTCTACTCCACCTAATCTGCTCATCAGCATTTTTTTGCCTCTCAACGCCCAAAGAGGGCTGCTAAACGCTGCGATCAAACGATCGCATGTATCAAACTCAAAAGTACCTATACATGTGTATATAGTATATGTATACACGTACCGAAAACAGTAAGGAGGCCTTTGGCAGAGCAAAAAAAAGGACTGGGACAAAAGTAATAACGATATTATTTACCAAAGAAAGGAACAAGGAGCGTTTCCAACCTGTCGCCGCGCGTCCGCAGCGCCATCACTCAGACACCCGAGAGGGGAGCCTAATGGCTCGGAAAAATCGGAAGCATCCGCGCGTTTCGCATGAATACGAAATGAGCTGCCACTGCCGTTACTACATGATGTTGTTCATGCGGGTGTGCTCGCTTTCCCACTCGGGTTGTATGGCAGTGACGTCAGCTATCCAACCATCTATATTTGGGAGGAGTGGGTGCGATGATGGCTTAACGCTTTTTTCCCGAGCCGCAGACTAATATTTTTGTTCGTTCTACTCTTGGGTACGTTTTTGTACAACTGTTTGCGGTGGTTGAGCGAAGTTTGGTGTCTTTAAGGTTAGGAAAGAGGGTGCTGTCCCGTGACGCGTGAAAAATGATGACAGGTCGGGCTTTTCATTGATCGCTCGAGTTTGCTCTTTGGTGCAGTGATCGTGACTTTGCTTTATCATTATCATTATTTATTTATTTATTTTTTCTAGTATTACAGTAATGTAGATACTCCTTAATTTTAACAGTATTATGCAACTGTGTCGACCGATAGGGTAGTTTGCTAAACGTGAGACCATCAGAGCCATGAAACAACGGATCGATGCTTAGTCTCTAACTCCATCAGTGTGGAACAAAATTCCTACCAGAATCTGACTATAAGTAATTGACACTTTCATAAATTTATCATTTTTCAGTCATTACTGCGAATTTGTACACTTTTTGCATAACTCTCAACGTGTAATAATTTAAAAATAGTTTATTATTATGAATCTACATGATTTTATGAAAAAAAAATTTCTTTTTACCTGGACTTGCGCTCGAGAACACATGTTTCGACTGTGAAAAATCTGAAACGAAAAAAGATATTTGATTTCAATAAAATTTTTTGTTAGTTCACTTAAATTATTTATCATTTAAGCGTGCAAACAAAAACACAGTGAGTTCATTATTATAACATTACGCAATTATAAAAAAAAAAAAAAAATGTTATACACAACAGTACAATATAAAACGGTGCTACGTTTTAATTGAACTACATCGTACGCAGCAAGAGGTGGAAAATTAAATTTAACGAAGCTTGAAACTAATAGATGAACTTTTATTGTTGGCAAACGACGAGTTGCGCTGCACGCTCGTCGCCACGAGTCGCAATTAGAACATAGTTTTCACGCTCATACGCGATAACTCGGTGGAAAAGAGAAATGGCAAAATTGAGTTATGCGCACTTACTTATATGTTTTCCGAGTATTTTTCGGCACCTAGAATTTTAACGCCTTTTCCATCCGCAACGCTCCAGTGATTACACACTATTGAAGCGTACGGTTCGTTATGACGCAACGAAGCGAATATCTCGTTATTAAACTAGTTATGTTTTATTTAGTAAGATGACGAGAAAATTAATGAATTTAATGGTTGTTTTGGGAATTTTAATTCCTGTTTATTCGGGTGGATTTTCTTTTCGTCTGTTTTTTGCTGGAACATTCATAAGATATCTCAACTCAGTTTTGTGCTGCATAATAAATATCGTTTGAACATCAGTAAATAATAAAGTAAGGTATTTTTAATACTAGTTACAATATAATTTCTTTGTATAACACGAATTTTAATTAGATGTCTCGATTACTACCCAAAAACAAAATATTAGAGAATTATTGAATTTAAAAAATGTTTGAAAATTTTAGCATGTAAGATAATTTCTTACAATGATACAGGTAAAATTATGGATTTTTATAAATACTTACAATATTTTATATTAATTATCTTAAAATTTTATCTGCAAAAAATAGCTTGTGAACAAAGTGTTTTTTTCATATTTTAATGAAATAAAATTCATAGTTTTTACAAAAGCATCAACTCTGATTTGATCCACTCCAGTCATAGGGTATTTCATACTGTAAATATAATTTTTACGCACCAATTAANTATATATATATATATACCAATTTGCAGGAGCTCGAGTCGATGCGTTTTGCAGTTGCACTCGACGAGGAGAGAAAGATATCCATGTCCCAATCATCTAAAATTATTTGCTACAATTAAAAAATTCTTACACTCAACAAATTTCTAGTTTTATTCATTTTTCTTATTTAAAAAAAATTTATTAAATTTTAAATTTGGCTTTTAGAAGTTTGAATAAAAAGTATAAAATTCATCTTCATGACTTGTGTTTCTTATTTACCATAAGGCTCATAGTTATGGGATCAAGAGGAAACTATGGTTGAAAAAACTCTTATATGTTATTTGGACCATTATTCTACCAAGTCGACTAACACCGTTATAGGAATGTCAAACGAAGATACGTTGAATACAATTTATTTTTAAAATTGTACTATTGCCTTGAACAGCACTATGTCTTCTCACACACTAAAAGTCCAACCCATGCTGTAAATTAAATAACTTTGTCCCCAAAAGTGTGTAAAAAAAGACTAAAAAATGTATACTTAGCCTAATTTCTTCAAGACCCGCGAAAGTTCTAAAATAACAAAAATTGTTCATCAAGTGGAACAAGTCTCAAAGTCAACTCTTTCCCTGTTATTGCCAAACTCAATGAAAACACAGGCACATAAGCCATTTAGAAGAGCCCAAGACGTTTGAAAAGCAAAAAATACTTTGACTAGCCAAACTCGGGGAAGGCTTGCCCGTCCTTTCTGGGATTACAGCCAAGTCTTTTTACGCTCACATGTTGTACCCTTTTGACTGGATTTATACGTATTAACGCCGTCTTTGTGCAAAATAGTCCTTTGAACAGCGCTTGCGGCTTTTTTCTCATTTAGAGTAAATTAATTTCAATGGCAACTCCAACGCGAGCGTGATACCATTCGACTTGGGCGTGGACCTTCACTTAGCATTCACCGTGCAAGACGTATGCATCATAAGTATGGAAAATTAATGTCCCCTTTGAGCTGGGATTTTTCGCATTCATGAGCTTGGGTGTAATGCCCATTGCGAGTAGGCGTTTACAAAATGGATGTAACGCTGTTGCGGCTGCTGCTCTCGCGAATCTTTTTATGTGCTACGTGACGTATTATCACGCTGACGTACACAAATTAAGACTCGTTTAAATTTTTCTTAATTTGAGGCTTATTTTTTTTCCTTGGGTGTGCTTAATTACATTTTCTTGCTGTCTCTCACCTTTTACGCATTTTTAGCTTAACATTATATTTGAGATGTTTATTAATTTCATAACGTAAAGTATAAAATACCAAAAGCGGTTGTCGTTGAAACCTATGATTAAATTTTAGATCTTTGGTATTATTTATCTGAAATTAAGAGTTTAGCTATCCAAGACAAAGTAATAACAGCTCTATGTTAACTATAAATTGTAAAAAAATAAAAAAATGTTATTTACAACTGTTGTATAATCATACATATTCAACAGAAATAATATTTATTTCAAAATCTTTTTTCTTTAGTTTTTTTTATTTTTACTAACTTTTAATATTTATCTTTTCAATAATAAGGCACATTGATTCATGTGTACATTTACATAATTTTTCGTTTATAATATGTTTTTTGTAATTGTTTTGTATTGTTGAGATAATATTGTTTTTTTTTATAATTTTTGTCTCATTTTTTTAAATATTTATGAATATAATAATGATTTTTTTAATTTCTCGTTCTTTGTTCATATATTTTTTATTTTTTGAACAATATTTTGTAAGGTAGTAAAAAATTGTAAGTTTTTATAATTTTTTCTGTGTATGTATCGCAAAGTATTTTTATTTATTGTTTTGTATTATTTATACTTTTTTTTTCTTGTTATATTGTTTATAAAATATTTTGTAAACTCCTTATTGTTTTTTTTCTTTTTTTTATCAAGGTATCATAATATATTATGCTTACTTAAAAAATTTTAAATTACCGACGTACACTGCAACGAACCTAAAAGTCTTCTCATTGCAGTGATGATTTTCAGCATAATAGACAACGCCAGCGATTCTCCGGTGGTAATTCAATACATTAGCCTGAATGATCTTTTGCGAAGAGACGAGAGTGACAGCCATGAGGTCGAAGAGGGGGAGCTTTTTCGATCGTATCTCGTTTTCAGCTATTTAAGTGCCACAAAAGTTCACCGAAAACCCACAGAAAATTTGTTCATCGGTAACGACACGCGCTTGGATGTAGTTGCACTTTCCTTGTTGGTTACTTGAATGTACGGGACTACTTTTGAAAATTATATCTCTGTCTGTAAATAAATACTACAGAAAGTCTACGATCCCACTATTGAAACGTATGGCAATTATAACAACTGTACACATGAGGCCTAAGAAATTTTAATTGATTTAAGTATTATTGAAAGGTGATTTAAAGAACTCATTTCTTGCGATATGAATACTGTACAATTCCCCATTGATGAACATGTTTTTTCTATTATTACATATAAAAGTGCATTTCCATGTTTAAGTGATAACATTAATAAAGAGTGATTCTTTTTATTGTACTAGACAAGTGTACTGGTATTTAGATTTTTTTAATTGTAAATAAAAAAAATTCAGAGATGGTTTTTGGTACTCCACAGTAACAAAATCATCTAAAATTATTTGCTACAATTAAAAAATTCTTACACTCAAATAAACTAATTTTATATATTTTTAAACATGTTTTAGTAGTAGTAGTAATTGGTTTAAATTATTAATTATAAAATATGGAAAGTCTGCGATTAAAGGCTGATATTATTTTTTAATCCCTGAAAACTTAATGCAAACATAATGGAAATATTGGTATACAATACAATGCTTTTACAATACAATTAATACTAATTACAATGCAATTACAATACAAAAGATTAAAACAAAAAAATCTTATTAACAAATTTACACATAACTGAAGGGAGCTTTGATTTAGTACTACATTTAACAATTGTTATTTCTCATTACTTTATTAAAAATAGAATTTTCTTATACATACCAATATCGGTAGATTTTATTTATTTTTATTTTCGCAGTACTAAATTATTTTAAATTAGTTTTTAAAATACTTTCATAATTACCTTCAATTGAAAAATAAATAATTTACCTTTTTTTTACTTAAGGCACATGTTTACTGTATTATCTTTATAATCAGAGCTATATAAAAACTCAGTTATTTGTGAGGTATACACTTAATTTTTATTATGAGGTAAGAGTTGTTTACACAATGTAACTTAATTAGTAATGATAGTTATTTTTTATATTCTTCATTTCATTTAACTATGAAACTATTTTTAGAAGAAAACATTACGAAAGAGTAGCCAGAACGTGCCTGTCATGCACTGTGAATTACAACACTAGTCGGTTCATAATTACAATGTGTATCTCTTAATTATAGGGCGTGCATTACACGTTTAAACAATTATCCACTCGACACCTCAGTGCATTCCAAAAAAAAGTACATAAAAGAAAAAAAAAGAAAAGAACGATCAGCCAATGTACTGTATATATAATATACCCTCGGACCCAACAAAGAAGAACTTGGTGGCATATATACAGCGCTCGAAAAAAAAAAATGGGCGGAGTATACTGACGATAGGATCGCAACGGCATTCACTCGTCCTCAATGCACAGAAAGGAACGACAAGGGAAGCGCAAAAAAGTCCACTTCCTAGATCTCGCGTTACCTGCGCGCGCGTGCGCGCTTGCCTATTTTGACAGGATACATCTTCCATTGTCGCCGAGCCGTCAGAGTGGAAAAGCGCCCATTGACCCTATTATGTGCGGCTATTAGTGTTGTAAAGCTTGAGATTTGCGGTTTTACTGTATTAGTGGTGATGTATCCCCCTCCGGAATCCCCCATTTCGTTTTCTCGATTTAACCTCGGCTTCTTCTTTTTTCTTTTCTCTGGCCTCTCTTGTGTCATGCGCGAAGAGTAC